GGTGTTGAGGTGGTGGGAATGTTGGAGTGTTGAGGTGGTGGGAATGTTGGGGTGTTGAGGTGTTGGGAATGTTGGGGTGTTGAGGTGGTGGGAATGTTGGGGTGTTGAGGTGGTGGGAATGTTGGGGTGTTGAGGTGGTGGGAATGTTAGGGTGTTGAGGTGTTGGGAATGTTGGGGTGTTGAGGTGGTGGGGAATGTTGGTGTGTTGAGGTGTTGGGAATGTTGGGGTGTTGAGGTGGTGGGAATGTTAGGGTGTTGAGGTGTTGGGAATGTTGGGGTGTTGAGGTGGTGGGAATGTTAGGGTGTTGAGGTGGTGGGAATGTTGGGGTGTTGAGGTGGTGGGAATGTTGGGGTGTTGAGGTGGTGGGGAATGTTAGGGTGTTGAGGTGGTGGGAATGTTGGGGTGTTGAGGTGGTGGGAATGTTGGGTGTTGAGGTGGTGGGAATGTTGGGGTGTTGAGGTGGTGGGAATGTTGGGGTGTTGAGGTGGTGGGAATGTTGGGGTGTTGAGGTGGTGGGAATGTTGGGGTGTTGAGGTGGTGGGAATGTTAGGGTGTTGAGGTGGTGGGAATGTTGGGTGTTGAGGGTGGTGGGAATGTTAGGGTGTTGAGGTGGTGGGAATGTTGGGGTGTTGAGGTGGTGGGAATGTTGGGGTGTTGAGGTGGTGGGAATGTTGGGGTGTTGAGGTGGTGGGAATGTTGGGGTGTTGAGGTGGTGGGAATGTTGGGGTGTTGAGGTGGTGGGAATGTTGGGGTGTTGAGGTGGTGGGAATGTTAGGGTGTTGAGGTGGGGAATGTTGGGGTGTTGAGGTGGTGGGAATGTTGGGGTGTTGAGGTGGTGGGAATGTTAGGGTGTGAGGTGGTGGGAATGTTGGGGGTGTTGAGGTGGTGGGAATGTTAGGGTGTTGAGGTGGTGGGAATGTTGGGGTGTTGAGGTGGTGGGAATGTTGGGGTGTTGAGGTGGTGGGAATGTTGGGGTGTTGAGGTGGTGGGAATGTTAGGGTGTTGAGGTGGTGGGAATGTTGGGGTGTTGAGGTGGTGGGAATGTTAGGGTGTTGAGGTGGTGGGAATGTTGGGGTGTTGAGGTGGTGGGAATGTTGGGGTGTTGAGGTGGTGGGAATGTTGGGGTGTTGAGGTGTTGGGAATGTTGGGGTGTTGAGGTGTTGGGAATGTTGGGGTGTTGAGGTGGTTGGAATGTTGGGGTGTTGAGGTGTTGGGAATGTTGGGGTGTTGAGGTGGTTGGAATGTTGGGGTGTTGAGGTGGTGGGAATGTTGGGGTGTTGAGGTGGTCTGAAAGTTGTTGGGGGTGAGGTGGTCCGAATGTTGTAGGAATGTTGTGGTGAACCACAAGGAGGCGCGGGGGAGCTTGAGGTGTGTGTTAGTGACGAGAAGAGCGTCGTCAAGGAGACAGGGAACAAAGGGACGGTGACCTCAGGAACACCGGAATACCTGACATTCCAAATGAATTTATCTCTCAGAGGGAAAAGTGTAGTAGAACTGTGAGGTAAAGTCGTGTGTACGGTGAAGACCAGAGGAGTGGTGGCATCGAGCACCAGTGGTGCTTCACGGACAGTGACCAGCTTGTTAACTTGGTCACGGTCCCTCTACCCTCACTACTGACCTACCACAGGGGGCCTCACGGCTGAGTGGACAGCGCTCGGTATTCGTAATTTTAAGGTTCCGGGTTTGATCCCCGGCGGAGGCCGGAACAAATGGACAGTTTCTTTCGCCCTGATGTTCCTGTTCATCTAGCACTAAATAGTTACCTGGGAGTTAGACAGCTGCTACGGGGTGCTTCCTGGGGGGGGGGGCTAACAAAAAGTCCCCGCGGCCTGGTCGAGGACCGGGCCGCGGGGACTCTAAGCGCCGAAATCATCCCAAGATAACCTGCCCTGTTACCACCCACAATAGTTGCCTAACTCCCATAAACATATTTACTGCTAGGTGGACTGAGGCATCAGAAGTAACACTGCCCATCGGCTTGCCATACCCGGCAGTTGTATTTGATTCAACAGCCTGTCATGACGAGCGTTCCCAACGTCAAGAAACTCCCACACTAAAGTGCCCTATCCTAACCAACCAGAGGACCCACGAACAGAAAACATAACGTCATTATGTCAATTTCGCAAACAGCCACCATTTTCTTGTACGAGTTTATGACCTTAAGTAAAGTATACGTCAAAATACGTCGTGTTATTATAAGGACGGGTTGGTACTGGTCGATTGTACTGACGGTCCTGTCCAATAGTCTACCGATAAACATCAGATTGTCGCGCTACTCGACACAACATCAGAAACGAGGGCGAGGCGACCACATCAATAAATCTATGGAATGAACACTCAAAAGTTGCAGGCGATGAGTCACAATAACGTGGCTAAATTATGTTGACCAGACCACACACTAGAAGGTGAAGGGACGACGACGTTTCGGTTCGTCCTGGACCATTCCCAAGTCGAATCACAATCGACTTGAGAATGGTCCAGGACGGACCGAAACGTCGTCGTCCCTTCACCTTCTAGTGTGTGGTCTGGTCAACACTCACAAGTTCACTTACGGAGGGGTGATGTTAGTTGTGTACTCGCCTATTTGTGCCTCCAGGATGGTAAGTCTTGCTCTTGGACCCCGCCTTTCCAACTGTCGCTCCTCTGAGGTACTGACTTATCTATTTTCTCTCATCATATCTACCTGGTGTAAACTGGGGTGGAGGCTGGTGTATACTGGGGTAAACTGGGGTGGAGGCTGGTGTATACTGGGGTAAACTGGGGTGGAGGCTGGTGTATACTGGGGTAAACTGGGGTGGAGGCTGGTGTATACTGGGGTAAACTGGGGTGGAGGCTGGTGTATACTGGGGTAAACTGGGGTGGAGGCTGGTGTATACTGGGGTAAACTGGGGTGGAGGCTGGTGTATACTGGGGTAAACTGGGGTGGAGGCTGGTGTATACTGGGGTAAACTGGGGTGGAGGCTGGTGTATACTGGGGTAAACTGGGGTGGAGGCTGGTGTATACTGGGGTAAACTGGGGTGGAGGCTGGTGTATACTGGGGTAAACTGGGGTGGAGGCTGGTGTATACTGGGGTAAACTGGGGTGGAGGCTGGTGTATACTGGGGTAAACTGGGGTGGAGGCTGGTTAAAAAAAAAATTAAATCTGCTTCCTCTATATACACTGAATCTTGCCCCCTCCCACCCTCCTTCCCCATGCCATACCCCTTTCAACGACCCCCACATCCCATTTCAATGACCCCCCCCCCCCCTTCACACCATCCAGATCAACCTGTCCTCTTAAAAAGAACGTCGCTTTTGGCCGTTTGCCCGTATGGCCGAATTTGGACGTAATTTGAAAATTGAAAAAAAAATGAAAATAAATTTGGGATTTTTTTTCAACAACAGTAAGTTAAGGGTTCTCTGATAGGTTAGGTGGGCAGGAAATTCTCATAAAGTTTCAAAACGTTATGAAAAACGTTAATTTAAAGTGTCCTCTCATAACCTCTGCGCGTACGCCGGACGACTCAAATAGAAAACGGAACAGAACGTCACTTTTGTGAGTCGATTTCATTTCAAATTACGTCCAAATTTGGCCAAAGCGCGTATACCAGCGAAAAGTGACATTATTTTTAAGAGGACGGGTTGATCCATCACGAGCCCCCCCCCCCCCCCCCTCCTCTCCCACTCATATAATCATCTACCCCATTTTCATTCCCCATGGCCGTCTCACCCTCCCGTGAGAACCCATTTCCATTCCATAAGTAATGAGGAGTGAGTGAACTTGACATATCATCTGCATTAAACTTTATATATAAACACAAATGTATTACTAATACAGTAACCAATCTATTAATCTATTCTAATCAACTAATCAAGAAGATAATAACAATAATTATAGTGCGCCAGCTGGCAACACTGATGACTTAGACACGATTATAACGTGTCTGTTGGCAGCACTGACGAGGATGACTGAGACGCGATGATTATAATATTGTTGGCAGCACTGACGAGGATGACTGAGACGCGATGATTATAATATTGTTGGTAGCACTGGCGAGGATGACTGAGACGCGATGATTATAACACTGTTGGCAGCACTGACGAGGATGACTGAGGCGCGATGATTATAATATTGTTGGCAGCACTGACGAGGATGACTGATGCGCGATGATTATAACATTGTTGGCAGCACTGACGAGGATGACTGAGGCGCGATAATTATAATATTGTTGGCAACACTGATGAGGATGACTGAGGCGCGATGATTATAATATTGTTGGTAGCACTGACGAGGATGACTGATGCGCGATGATTATAACATTGTTGGCAGCACTGACGAGGATGACTGAGGCGCGATAATTATAATATTGTTGGCAACACTGACGAGGATGACTGAGACGCGATGATTATAATATTGTTGGTAGCACTGACGAGGATGACTGAGGCACGATAATTATAATATTGTTGGTAGCACTGACGAGGATGACTGAGGCGCGATGATTATAATACTGTTGGCAACACTGACGAGGATGACTGAGGCGCGATGATTATAATATTGTTGGCAGCACTGACGAGGATGACTGAGGCACGATAATTATAATATTGTTGGCAGCACTGACGAGGATGACTGAGACTCGATGATTATAATATTGTTGGCAACACTGACGAGGATGACTGAGGCGCGATGATTATAATATTGTTGGCAGCACTGACGAGGATGACTGAGGCACGATAATTATAATATTGTTGGCAACACTGACGAGGATGACTGAGGCGCGATGATTATAATATTGTTGGCAGCACTGACGAGGATGACTGAGGCACGATAATTATAATATTGCTGGCAACACTGACGAGGATGACTGAGGCGCGATGATTATGATATTGTTGGCAGCACTGACGAGGATGACTGAGGCGCGATGATTATAATATTGTTGGCAGCGCTGACGAGGATGACTGAGGCACGATGATTTCTCTTTTAGGAATCAAAATATTAACATAATGTTTCTTTTATTTCAGTTTAAATGTGAAAACTGCCGACGACCACAGACACAAGATTGGCAGAATAGACTTGTTAAATGGAGACAACGAACCACCGTAAGTGTCTACTCCTCCATCTTGTGAGAGAGAGAGAGAGAGAGAGAGAGAGAGAGAGAGAAAGAGAGAGGGGGGGGGCGGGAGGGCCTCTTGTAAACACAGTCCAAAATACCTTCAGGTCAAGCATTTTCTACACCACTCTAGAGACCTATTACAGATAAAACACTGATGACAGGTTAACATTATACCCAATATGCTGAGTTAATTAGCTTCGGGTCTCGGTGTTTCATCTATGATCACAGGATCTCTCCGGGATCAAGTCAACAGGATCTCCAAATAGTATTGTGATAGGATCTCCAGAAGTTCAAGTTGACAGGATCTCTCAACAAAGCTTGACGACACATTAGTTATGTTACCGCTGCATTATTTCGTTTTCTGTTACAGAATGTTCCATGTCCGTTTTCTGTCACAAATTCCCTAAAAATAACAATACAAATTTTAACCCCAATCTTCTTTAAAAATGATTTTGACACTACGATCAACAGGAGGATTAATTAGACTCATGTTAGAGGAACATGAAGTATTCAACAAAACCCGCGAATATCGAGCAAAGAATAAGAATAAGATAGCATGAAATTAGAATTAAATTGAAGAAAATCATTAGAATATTTACACAAAATCCTGCACAATGCAACAAGGCTCACAAGTACACATCCCCAGGAGGCAGCTGTCTAACTCCCTGGTACCAAACGCACGGGGGGTCGAAGTCCTAAGGGTCCGGGTTCGATCCCCGGTGGAGGCGGAAACATATGGGCAGAGTTTCTTTCACTCTGGTGTACCTGTTCACCTAGCACTAAATAGGTACCTGGGAGTTAGACAGCTGCTACGGGCTGCTTCCTGTGTGTGTGTGTGTGTGTATTCCTCTAGCTAAGGGAGGCCCGAGACAACCTCTTCAAGAGTCGCTCTATCCCTCATTAAATTAAGGCCTACGGGCTCACCATAGCCCGTGCTACTTGGAATTTTACATTCCAGGTAGCGAATCTTTAACAACAACAACAACCTCATTAATGGAAATCTAAACCCTTAAATCCTCTATTTGAATTATAAATTGTAATTAAGCAGTTTTTTTTAACTAATATAAAATCAGTTCCAGAGGATAGGGATGACTTCTGGCATCCTGGTGGTCCGGTTCTTAGGGCTGGGTGTACCAGAGAAGGATGGGTCCTGGGCCACCAGATGGGCCACAGTGATGGGTCCTGGGCCACCAGATGGGTCCTGGGCCACCAGATGGGCCACAGTGATGGGTCCTGGGCCATCAGGTGGGCCACAGTGATGGGTCCTGGGCCATCAGATGGGCCACAGTGATGGGTCCTGGGCCACCAGATGGGTCCTGGGCCACCAGATGGGTCCTGGGCCACCAGATGGGCCACAGTGATGGGTCCTGGGCCATCAGGTGGGCCACAGTGATGGGTCCTGGGCCATCAGGTGGGCCACAGTGATGGGTCCTGGGCCATCAGGTGGGCCACAGTGATGGGTCCTGGGCCACCAGATGGGCCACAGTGATGGGTCCTGGGCCATCAGGTGGGCCACAGTGATGGGTCCTGGGCCATCAGGTGGGCCACAGTGATGGGTCCTGGGCCACCAGATGGGCCACAGTGATGGGTCCTGGGCCATCAGGTGGGCCACAGTGATGGGTCCTGGGCCATCAAGTGGGCCACGAGTGACGGGCCCTGGACCATCAAGTGGGCCACTAGTGACGGGCCCTGGACCATCAAGTGGGCCACGAGTGACGGGTCCTGGACCATCAGATGGGCCACGAGTGACGGGTCCTGGACCATCATGTGGGCCACAGTGACGGGTCCTGGACCATCAAGTGGGCCACGAGTGACGGGCCCTGGACCATCAAGTGGGACACTAGTGACGGGCCCTGGACCATCAAGTGGGACACGAGTGACGGGCCCTGGACCATCAAGTGGGACACTAGTGACGGGCCCTGGACCATCAAGTGGGCCACGAGTGACGGGTCCTGGACCATCAGATGGGCCACGAGTGACGGGTCCTGGACCATCATGTGGGCCACAGTGACGGGTCCTGGACCATCAAGTGGGCCACGAGTGACGGGCCCTGGACCATCAAGTGGGACACTAGTGACGGGCCCTGGACCATCAAGTGGGACACGAGTGACGGGCCCTGGACCATCAAGTGGGACACTAGTGACGGGCCCTGGACCATCAAGTGGGCCACGGGGGTTAAAATAAGCGAGCAATCTGATGCGGAGAATTCAAGGTGCAGGTTTCTAATTAAGGAATGTCACCTGTCTTAAAGGTGATGGTGGGAGAGGTAGAGTGTCTCACTGTCCCCGCCACCATACTGGGTGTGGTGAGGGAGTATAGTGTCCCCTGGCCACCATACTGGGTGTGGTGAGGGAGTATAGTGTCCTGGCCACCATACTGGGTGTGGTGAGGGAGTATAGTGAGCCCTGGCCACCATACTGGGTGTGGTGAGGGAGTATAGTGTCCCCTGGCCACCATACTGGGTGTGGTGAGGGAGTATAGTGTCCCCTGGCCACCATACTGGGTGTGGTGAGGGAGTATAGTGTCCCCGGGCCACCATACTGGGTGTGGTGAGGGAGTATAGTGTTCCCTGGCCACCATACTGGGTGTGGTGAGGGAGTATAGTGTCCCCTGGCCACCATACTGGGTGTGGTGAGGGAGTATAGTGACCCCTGGCCACCATACTGGGTGTGGTGAGGGAGTATAGTGAGCCCTGGCCACCATACTGGGTGTGGTGAGGGAGTATAGTGTCCTGGTCACCATACTGGGTGTGGTGAGGGAGTATAGTGTCCTGGCCACCATACTGGGTGTGGTGAGGGAGTATAGTGTTCCCTGGCCACCATACTGGGTGTGGTGAGGGAGTATAGTGTCCTGGCCACCATACTGGGTGTGGTGAGGGAGTATAGTGTCCTGGCCACCATACTGGGTGTGGTGAGGGAGTATAGTGAGCCCTGGCCACCATACTGGGTGTGGTGAGGGAGTATAGTGTCCTGGCCACCATACTGGGTGTGGTGAGGGAGTATAGTGTCCCCGGGCCACCATACTGGGTGTGGTGAGGGAGTATAGTGTCCTGGCCACCATACTGGGTGTGGTGAGGGAGTATAGTGAGCCCTGGCCACCATACTGGGTGTGGTGAGGGAGTATAGTGTCCTGGCCACCATACTGGGTGTGGTGAGGGAGTATAGTGTCCCCGGGCCACCATACTGGGTGTGGTGAGGGAGTATAGTGACCCCTGGCCACCATACTGGGTATGGTGAGGGAGTATAGTGTCCTGGCCACCATACTGGGTGTGGTGAGGGAGTATAGTGAGCCCTGGCCACCATACTGGGTGTGGTGAGGGAGTATAGTGTCCTGGCCACCATACTGGGTGTGGTGAGGGAGTATAGTGTCCCCGGGCCACCATACTGGGTGTGGTGAGGGAGTATAGTGAGCCCTGGCCACCATACTGGGTGTGGTGAGGGAGTATAGTGTCCTGGCCACCATACTGGGTGTGGTGAGGGAGTATAGTGTCCCCGGGCCACCATACTGGGTGTGGTGAGGGAGTATAGTGTTCCCTGGCCACCATACTGGGTGTGGTGAGGGAGTATAGTGTCCTGGCCACCATACTGGGTGTGGTGAGGGAGTATAGTGACCCCTGGCCACCATACTGGGTATGGTGAGGGAGTATAGTGTCCTGGCCACCATACTGGGTGTGGTGAGGGAGTATAGTGACCCCTGGCCACCATACTGGGTGTGGTGAGGGAGTATAGTGCCCCTTGGCCACCATACTGGGTGTGGTGAGGGAGTATAGTGACCCCTGGCCACCATACTGGGTGTGGTGAGGGAGTATAGTGTCTCCTGGCCACCATACTGGGTGTGGTGAGGGAGTATAGTGACCCCTGGCCACCATACTGGGTGTGGTGAGGGAGTATAGTGCCCCTTGGCCACCATACTGGGTGTGGTGAGGGAGTATAGTGTCCCCGGGCCACCGTACTGGGTGTGGTGAGGGAGTATAGTGACCCCTGGCCACCATACTGGGTATGGTGAGGGAGTATAGTGTCCTGGCCACCATACTGGGTGTGGTGAGGGAGTATAATGACCCTGGCCACCATACTGGATGTGGTGAGAGAGTATACTGTCCCCTGGCCACCATACTGGGTGTGGTGAGGGAGTATAGTGTTCTGGCCACTATACTGGGTGTGGTGAGGGAGTATAGTGTCCTGGCCACCATACTGGGTGTGGTGAGGGAGTATAGTGTCTCCGGGCCACCATACTGGGTGTGATGAGTTAGTATAGTGTTCCCTGGCCACCATACTGGGTGTGGTGAGGGAGTATAGTGTCCTGGCCACCATACTGGGTGTGGTGAGGGAGTATAGTGACCCCTGGCCACCATACTGGGTGTGGTGAGGGAGTATAGTGTCCTAGCCACCATACTGGGTGTGGTGAGGGAGTATAGTGACCCCTGGCCACCATACTGGGTGTGGTGAGGGAGTATAGTGCCCCTTGGCCACCATACTGGGTGTGGTGAGGGAATATAGTGTCCCCGGGCCACCATACTGGGTGTGGTGAGGGAGTATAGTGACCCCTGGCCACCATACTGGGTATGGTGAGGGTGTATAGTGTCCTGGCCACCATACTGGGTGTGGTGAGGGAGTATAGTGACCCCTGGCCACCATACTGGGTGTGTTGTACATGGTATGTACAACATACCATGTACACCATACCCTGTACACCATACCCTGTGCACCATACCCTGTACAACATACCATGTACACCATACCCTGTACACCATATCCTGTACACCATATCCTGTACACCACACCATGTACACAATACCATGCAAGGTGATGGAGAAGATCGTGAGGAAAAGGCTCGTAGAGCATCTGGAGGGAAATAACTTTGTAACGCACCACCAACATGGGTTCAGGGATGGTAAATCGTGCCTCTCAGGTTTAATAGAATTTTATGACCAGGCAACAAAAATTAGGCAGGAGAGAGTAGAGTGGGCCGACTGCATTTTCCTGAACT